AGAAACTGTGGGAGGTAAATATATAAGAAGAAACTAATGAAGTAAGGTTTGATTTCAGATTTCTCTGGCACTGTTTCTAGGCAGTTAAGAGTTGTTTCCTGTAAGGGAGAATATCCATACTGTTTTTAGGCGGAAAAGAAGATAGAGAGAGCTCTTTCTCCCTTGCTATTTCATAGTTACCTTTAGTTCAAGAATAATTTTTGTATCCATGAGGCATATTTGAGGGTGACATTTTCTGGTTTCCTTCACCTACTTCACACCTCTGCCCAAGGATTGGTCTTGCCACCAATATCTACTAAAGCCTAGACTTTGAGGTTAAATTCGAGTTCCATACCTGAGTCTCCCTACCCAGGTGAACTTAAGACCACCTAATTTCTCAGAATCTCTTCATCTGCTGTCTCCTAAGGGTTGTAACAAGATTTAAACATAATAACAATGGCAATGAATTTAAAACAGTTACTGATTCAATAAATTCCAAATAGATAGCAGCAGTGATCCCAGGGAGAGATATTGGTTGTAACACAAGGAAATGGCCCAGCTCTTTTCTGCCTCCAGCCTGCATTTTGATGGGTGCCAGCCAGTATTGTTGACTGCTTATTTGCTAATTGATCAACTACATTATCCACTTATATTAGATCCTTTTTAAAAACTCTTCCTGTTTCCTGACAATGCCCCTGGTTATGCAATAAGATCCCAAATGTGAATACTTGAAAGGGCCTTGCTTACAATGAATATAATTCAGTCACCACTGCCCAGTGGAAGAACTATTCCTTGTATGAGGGAGTGCCAGCCCTCTGCTCTGCAAACCAAAAAAAGTTTTAATATGTACTTTCAAACGTCTATGGAAACATTTGGGGCTTGAATTATTTGGAGTTATTTACTCAGGGCTATCACAAGGAGCCAGGAGAAGCACACAGTCTTCTGACAATTAGGTGGGGAGGCATTTACTACTGTTCTTACATACTGTAACTGAAGAAGTGACCATTCATGTGTCTATTTTCCTTGCTATGTATCTGCTTTAATTTTCAATCATGAAGACCTCTTCTTGAAATCAAGAAATATTACCTAATATTATCCTTCCCCAAAAGCAGTGGTCCATTGACTGAGGAAATGCACTATGAAAAATTGCTATAGTGAATTAACTAAGAATGGAGATTTTATGAATCACATTAACATCTACACAGATTTGGAAAATGGTAGTGTATTTCTGCGTGAAACATTTTCGCTATCCAGTAAACAGTCATCCAGGAAGCTAAGGATCCCTTGCATTAACATCCTGGCGCCACAGAGACCTACATCTTGCAGGCTGGGAACCAATGTCTAAAGGTATTTAACTGAGAGTTTGCAGAAGAAAGTACCACAAAGTTATGTTGAACATTAGCTTTCTGAGTGGCCTATAATTCTACTAATGACTGCTGAATTTAAAAATTAAAATAATGATAGGTTGCCTGTAAATAGAATTTTGTTTTTGAAACAGGAAAAACATGAATTTCTAGTTGTGGAGTCTAATATTTAACTACAGTAGACTGATCTAAGTCTTGGCAGGATACGAGACATAATTTGAAACCATGAAGGTATAAACCCAGGGGAACAATGTGTATAATGCTTGAATTATGTTCAGACTGATCAGGGGGATGGTCGGGGGATTTCTTTATTAAAATTATTGAACAGGAAAGTGCCTTCAACCACAATATAAAAGCCAATTTGCAATTACTGTTCTACTTTTCCTCTACTTTCCATTTTTATTTTAGTGCACAGTTTGTGGCCAAATCAGCTTTTGCATCTCTTGGACTTATATTTTTGTAGAAAAAGATTTACTTTAGTTTTCATTTTAATGCTACCATGTAACAAATTGCTCTAAACTTTAAAAAATCTGCTTCCCAGCCTCTTTGCTTCCTTTTTGTCATTAAATGATTAGGAAGATAACATTGTTGAGATCTTAAAGATTCTGAGGATCAAGCATATATTTATGCTACATTAGGGAAGTGAAGCATTTCTTGAATGAGTATTTTAAAAGTGGAGTCAAATAAAATTTATTTATTTTAATCTCTTTGGGTTGATTTAGCTCTGGGCTATCCAAAAATGAATTTCTTTATATGTGAAAGTGTCAGCTGTTTAAAATAAAATTATGACTTTGAAAATTACTTGCTACAAATCCTAGAATATAGTGGCACTCAAAAATGATTACTTTTCATGGGCCTGGGGATAAAAATGCTACTATTTGTTCATTTAGTATTTTTTTCTTTACTTCAGGACTTTTGTTTTAGAATTAAAAGTTAAGTTCTAGAGAAAAAGTTTCGCAGATGAACATGAAGCAAAACAGTGTATGAAAGTACTTTGTGGGGCCGGGCATGGTGGCTCATGCCTGTTATTCCAGCACTTTGGGAGGCTGAGGCAGGTGGCTTACCTGAGATCAGGAGTTCTAGACGAGCCTGCTCAACATGGTGAAACCCTGTATCTACTAAAAATACAAAAATTAGCTGGGCGTGGTGGTGGGTGCCTGTAATTCCAGCTGCTCGAGAAGGCTGAGGCAGGAGAATCACTTGAACCTTGGGGGGCGGGG